CACTAGTGGTATATCACGGACCTATAGAGATGTGTATATTGGTATGGATATATACGTATATATATATATATCTATACGTAGTGTATAGAGATATTGATCTTGCACATTAATGCGCGTTGTATTGACATGATATATATATATATAATATCATGTTATGTATATATATATATAAATACATTGATATGGGCATGTACTATTGAGTTACTATTACCATTTGACAGGTCAAAGGGTCGAAAATTGGGGTTGGTGCCATGGTGCCACATAAAATTGGGATGGTATTTCTGTCAATTCATATACATGTATAATGGGTCAAAATCAGGTATTGGGCATATATATCTATATGGTGTACTATTGCCAACAAGGGTATGGGCCGAAATTGGGTACATATGGTTTTGGGCTACATAGTATGTACTGCATGTACATAAGCATACACACACATATATATATATACATACATGTACAAATATGCGTATATATATATACATATATGTACAGGTAAACAAATACACATATATATATATGAGTACATATATGTACATATATAATACATATAATATTTATATATACACGTACATATGTATATATATATGTAATATACATATATATATATGTAATATACATATATATATATGTAATATACATATATATATGTAATATACATATATATATATATATGTAATATACATATATATATATGTATTTTACATACACACATATATATATATATCTATGTACGTATATATATATACATGCACATATACATATACATATATATATACATGTTCGTACACACATAGATATATATATATATATATATACATACATGCATACAAAGGTTTATCCATGCATATATGTATATACATACATATATATATATACATATATATATACATATATATACATATATATACATATACATACATACATACCATACCACACCATACCATTACATTACATTACATTACATTAATACATACATACATACATACATACATACATACATACATACATACATACATACATACATACATACATACATACATACATACATACATACATACATACATACATACATACATACATACTACATACATACATACATACATACATACATACATACATACATACATACATACATACATACATACATACATACATACATACATACATACAACATACATACAACATACATACATACATACATACATACATACATACATACATACATACATACATACATACATACATACATACATACATACATACATACATACATACATACATACATACATACATACATACATACATACATACATACATACATACACTCATACACACATACACACATACACACATACATACATTTATTTATACACATATAAATATAAATAAATACATATTATATATATATATGTATATGTTTGCAAGTATGGGTCAAAATAGGCAAATTGGACACCCAAAATTGGATTGGGTTTGAATATTGCCATGATGATAGGCATAGGTGTTTTTATGTATATAGTGTGTTTTAACTGGTTGATTTATTTAGTATGTTTGATTGTTCTTATATTGCTGACTGGAATCTACCCCTAGAACATCGGATATGTGTAGAGGTTGGCTGGTCTCAGCATTCTCCTGAAAGATAGCAATCAAAGCATCTAGCAACGAAAGTTCTGACAGGGAAACCTCAAAAATAACTCTACTCCAGGCTGAGAAGCTTGGGAAAGAGTTGGTCGATCTTGAGCACTGACCAACCAAAAAAAGAGTGGCTGGATGTGGGTAACACTTGTCATTTCTTGGGTTGCATCGCATTCTTGGAAACGGCTTTCCGAACATGGATTTTTTGCTGGGCTTTGAACGCTGATAGGGATGGATCAACATCTCTACCATCATAATTCGGAGGGGATGAACATCCCATAAATCCTAGCTATATCCTAGCTATATATCCTAGCTATGAACAGGTGTAAAACACCAGCCATATCTCCCATTTTGGTTGGGTCAACCCGGATTGCTCCGTGGCTCCGTCGCGACGGAGCGCCGGCGATGAGGTGGAGTCGGTGGACCCGGTCGCCCGAAACACGTCCATTTCAGAGGTGGGATTTCACAGGGATTTCATGAGAAGCCTCTGGTAGTTTCACATAGCCAAAAAAAACCCAGCAATTTTTGATTTCGAATTCATAGATGTTCGGATTTCGACATATCTGCTGTTATTTTGTAAGATAATTCAAAATCAGTTCACTGATTTGTGGTCACTAATTCTAGTATCATTTTGGTTATGATGATGATGATGAACCGGTTGATTCACCAGGGAACCCTCCCAACATTTTCAGAGAAATGGTTCAATCTGCTTGGCGAAGCTTGGTGCCAGGCAGAGACGCATGCGCCAGGTGAAGTGGATTCCTTTCAGGGCGACAAGGTGCGAAGATGATGGTGATGATGGTGATGATCTATTCACTTTTTGCCTTTGTTGGACGACTTCATGGTGTTTAAGAGCCAAGAAAGGCAATCTTTCAGAATATCAATGATGGTGAATGACATGAAATATCATACCTTATAAATACACGTTATGAAGCTGGAAGAGACCGAGCTGGACATTTCAAGCACGGTAGAAATCTTGCAGTCAGCCCATGCTCCCATCAAAATGGAGATGTCACCACCAAAGTCACTAGTTTCAGGTTGTTCCATGTTGTTCTCCCATTCTTGTACTGGAAATATACGGGAAACTCCCATCTTTCGCGGTTTTTTCACATGTCAAAACAATGGTTTCAGGTTTCGATTTTCCCTGAAGTCAACCCAGTCCTTGGCTCGTGCTTAGCTGCGACCTGCTCCTCGCGGTGCAGGTCGTGGTGCAGGTCGTTGCAACTGTTCCAGCAGTGAGACCCCCAGCCACGCCAGTGCCAGCAGTGCCCGATCTGGATTCGAGGCTGATGACAAGCGGCTGGGGTTTGTCTCAACATGGGATGTAATGGGCATATTATGGGCATATTATGGGCATATAATAGGGATAATGGGGATATGTATATGTATAATAATATACGTGTTTATATATATAATAAACTATGATTTATATGTATGTATAGTATATTATATATATACATACATACAGTATAACCACAAGTATATATCATGTGTTTGTTTCCTCGGCACACCGGGACTCCGGAGTGGGGAAGTTTACATCCATGGTGGTTGTGGAGAGATGATGAATCCTATTGGATGATTGAGCCTATAGGATTTTGCTCTTTGTCTTTTTGGGGTTGCTGCAAGTCACAAAACAGTCCACTCTGGGTACCAACTTCCAGCCGGTTTCCAGTCAACAGCTGCAGCAGCCAGGTGGGATGACTTGATCCAGCGGATTGCGTATCTGGGACAGGAGACCAACTACTTTCTTCGAGTGATCCCCACCAACGGGCATGCCATTTCTGACATTTCTATACATGTCTGGCAGACCTTTTCTCTGGCATTCTATCTGACACCTATTCTAGCATTTTATTTGACATATATATATATATATAAATATACAATTATATACTATCTGACAATTCTATCTGTCATATCATCTGGGATTCTATCTGGCATTCTATTTGACATTCCATCTGGCATACGGTCTGGCATTCTATCTCATGATTTATCTGAGATAGTGTTCCCGTTCTGGTTCCAGGGCCCAGAGCTGCGAGGAAGCCGTGGGGTATCGGGTGGATTTCACAAAGCAACCCATGCAGATTTTGCATTTTTTTCGAAACCCAATTGAAGATTAACAACTTGCTTTCAACATGGCAGTTGTTGTATTTTTACATCCCAATATCAACTGCACCGGTGGCCTCAAACAATGCGGATTTCATCACATAGAAACGCCATATTCGTTAAGAGGTATAGGACAGCCCTGCACGGATAGATCGTGAAACCTTGAACAGCTGAGTCAAGGAACCAGGTTGTGTGCCCTGTATCAGCACAATCTACCTTCAATTGCGAGTCGTGTCATTTGCAGCATATTTTTGCTAAAAAATGCTGAACTGAAATTTTGGAGCAGGAAGACATGTTAGCAGTCAGGTATGTTCATTTTACATCACATTTGCATAGAAAACATCGTATAGAAATTCATTTAAAATCGACACAAAATAGGTAGAAATTCCTTCTTCCACTTCACCGATTGGTGCAAATTAGCGTATTTGACCCATGCTCATGAAGCAGACTTTTGGCAACCCAATGAAGCATTGCAGACCGTCTCTTCTTTGAGGATCCTTCCGGTTGTCATGGTAGGTGAAGAACTCGGCATTCCTATCACAAGGGACCTGCCACGAGGGAGACTGGCGGCCCTCAGCCGAGCCCTGAGGTCGAGTGAAAAGTCTCCAGCTTCACGAAGAGGCGGTCATCCCTCAGCCATTTTTGGCCGAAGTGTCGTGGTGATCTCAACAGCTTGGTTGGAACATCACCATTTTGTTGCATGAAAATCACCCATGAATTGATGAATTATGATGAGATGATCTGTAAATGAAAAAACAAAAGGGGCATTTTTGATGGGAAGATCACCTCTAAATGGATAGGAACGGGAGAGTTTTCAGCCTGGATCAGCAAAACATTCCTAAGCATCCAGAAATTCAGGGAGTGGCCCCAACTAGCATGGTGTTTTTGCAGAGAAACAGACCAACAAAGAATAACTCTTTGGGGCAACGAGCCAATTCCTGGACAAAGCCCTATATATCCCCATTGCTTGCGGGAAACGGAACAAATCATGGAGTTACTGTGCACATCCAACTGAGTGTCACAGGAGGTGCACTTCTGCTCACACATCATTTTCAAACCAAGCTGATCAGCAAGATCGCAAGCTCTGCAACGAGTAAATGCAGAAGCCTGCGCAATTACACAGTGTGCAAAGCCAAAGAAGACTTCAGCAGTCTGCCTAGTCATTCCAGCAAGCTGTCAAACTTCGTAAACAACCACTTGATCAAAGAAAATCTGCAAGAAAACATCTCAAACAGAAACTACTAAGTGGGAGTTGTCCTTCACAACTCTCGGATCACAATGGAAAGCTTCGAATACCGAAGCATTCGTTTCTCGGCATCGAGGCATCGTTGAGCAATGGTCTCAACGGCGTGCAGATGTTTGTGCAACACTGACTGGTTTCCAGATGAGGCACAGGACTTAGACTTCGATGGCTTGGGCGGGGCTGCTGTGCCCATTCAGCCGGCGCGATTTTCAGACCTATTGGCCTACTCCACCGATATGGGTCAATCCTTACGTGGAAAGCCCTTGCGAGCTGGTGACGTCTGGTTCTTGCGATCAGATTCCGCTGCTGAAAAGGTTCAGGCGTGACCATTTTAATGGACAAAACGATGGTTGATTGTTGGCTGATACTAGTATGGAGGAATTAACAACCAAAGGGGATACAGGATCGCCAACAAGATGTGGAGTATACGTGTATTTGTTGGAGAGTGCTTGCAATAAATTGCATTGAATCCTCATCATAGCTGACAGTAGACGCAATGCACCATGGCCTTGGACACGCTTCAGGTGGCTCTCTATGTCAATGGTCTCGCCATCGCCCATAACGGCAAAGAGGTGCGTGCATGCTTTTCGCCCTTTACACTGGTGCGGAACTGCAAGTTTCAAGATTCTGCGACATGCAGCCAGCTCATGTCTTTGAAGATTTTCAAGATCTTTTTCTTTGTGAAGAATCTCTGTTACTTCTTCGGCGTTTCAGCGGATGATGAAGGACTGGCCGAAAAGGAGCGGCAACAGTGGGTGGCGGACGTTGCCAGAGCAGTTCCTTCGCACGCTTTGGACACCCGTTTCTTTTCCCTCCTTGGGACTTTTGCTCTGGGCCAACTATAGTATACTATAGTAACTATAGGCAGGTGCCATGAACATGCCAAACAAATCCTAACAGTCCAGGTTCAAAATCGCAGTTGTTCCCTTTTTTCGCCGAGGTGCATTTGGTAACGCAATCCTTGTTCCCTCCCTTCAGCATCTCCTGCGAACCCATTTGTGCAGCGGCTGTAACAGCAAGGAGGCTGATGGCAGGTTATGTCTTGTACCATAGTGGGGATGATGTGGCCACGATTTTATATGGCGAGCTGTCCCCTCACACTCGTGGTAGCGATCTGGCCAGGCTCGCTTTCTATGAAAACGAGCAATGTCAACGTCTAGCGATGGAAATTTGGCTCTCGGTGGCCAGCAACTGTTTTGAAAAGGTAGGTGTGTCTTGCACGTGCTTCTGCATCAACGGTCATGACTTTTCTGCACGGACGATGGCGGAAAGAAAGCTTCCCGACAGTAGTTCCATCTGAATTATGTTTCTTCTGCTTGGGATGAATCATTGCCTGGAATTGACCGCTCGCTTGATTTATTGAGAATCAGAATATTCACTGTAAATTCAGGTGGCAATGGATAAGAGTTATTTTCTTTGTCAATGACTCCGCAAAAGCTACCCCCTGAGAACAAGATTTAATCCGGAGCCCACCCAAAAATGGTGCGCTGGAAGAGGGTTCAATGATTGTGAAGTGGCCACCTTTGGCGTTGAGACTTTTTTTTTTTCCGGCGCGATTTATTTGTTGCAAGTTGCAACCCGATTTTTACCTGTTGCACTCCCATGTTTGCTGCTTACTTCTTCATGTTAGGCCAGGATATATCTCCTTTTTGCAGATCAGATTCCCTACAGTAATCAGTTACTGTCACCTGTCGCCATGGTTCCCAGGCTCTGGCTTCGAGCCATTTCCAATATGAAGGTAAAGTTGCAGAATGCTGCGCCTGCACCAAGTCGTGAAGATTTGGCGCACTACCGAGAGGCCATTGAGGAGCAGGTCCGTGACCTGTCTGGAACGCCAGTTTTGGGATCTTTATGTTTGTGCATGTTTTGGGATGTGAGTGTCCATATGTTTCCATCAAAACCCAGTTTTCCCGGTCAACAAGCAGCAACGAGCACACGATATGCCATGTGATTTGCAGTTGTTTTTGCAGTTTCTGAGCTTTGGTGCGGGGAGTCACAAAAGATCGGTGCCATTTGCTGCTGAGGCTCTTTGGAGAACAGCTTGGAAGGCCGGGGCCCCGTGGATGCTTTGCTGCAACGGATCCAGTGGGAGAGGTCCGAGATCTCCCGGACAGACGATGGAAGCATCACGGCGGAGGAGGGCACGCTGGCCTCGAAGAAACCCATGGCCACAGTGGCACTGTCAGCGGCCAAAACGGGCGCTGGCCGAAGTGCGGGTCCCTTGTCACAACGAAGTGTGGCCAGGGACTCCTCTCGCCCTCGGTCACCGAAACAAAGCTGCCGGGACTCTTTCTGAGATGATCCAACAAAAACATCTTAAAAAAGAACATGGATCTGGTGGCTGAAAGTGGCTGCCGATCTATGAGGATGCAACCGCAAACGGTGGGAAGCTGTAAAAAGAAGCATGGTCCAATGGTGTTCGATTTGGAGCTGTGCAACTCTTGTGGATTCTTTTGGAGAGGGGCTAGGACCGGCTAGGACATGAAGCCTCAATCTTCGGAAGCTGAAGCACTCCTCAAAGCATTGGGTCATAGGAAGGAGTACTAATTAGTAGATCTTGAACATCTTAGGAACCATCTCACAGGAATCCGGATAGCTGCATTTTTTCTGTTCACTTGAAAAAAGGGATGTGAAAACCCACTATATTTTGGTGGGGGAAAATTATATTCCAATCTTGATTGACCCGGAAGAAACTTGCTTTCTGACACCTGATGATCAAAGTTTGGTATTTTCCAACAAGCAAGCCAGGAATGGTAATCACATACCGACTACATGGGTAACATGGGTGTTTCCTAAAATAGAGATTAAATAGGGTTATCGCCAAACCATTCAATCAAACCATTCGACTATATAACACAGATTTGAATGTTACATCATATCATATCATAATATCATAACATAGATTTAGAAACTTTCGTATTGGTAACACACGCACACACACACACACACACATATATATACATATGTATATAGATAGTATTGAATCAAATTGAATACCCTTTATTAATCATGATATAAGATAGTATTGAACCACCCATGGGTTTTGGGCTCCCGGGGCCCTTTCCGGTGCCAGCATCAAGTTGGGCGTTGCTTGGGACGCAGGCTCCGCAGGCTCGATGGACACGCCACCTTTGTCGGCTCGCTCGGCGCGATCTCTGGGGATTGGACAAGTACCTTGGTGATGACCGGGTTGGAATTTCATGGGAGTTAACTATGAAACATATGGGGAGAAGGGAAAGCGATACTTGATAAATGATGGTTGGTTGATCAATTTGTTCGGGGATTGTACTGACCGATGTATTCGGGAATATCTGGATTCAATCATGGTTAGTCGCAAAAAAAGCAAGAACACACCAACCAAGTTAAAATTCACTGTCTTACTAGCTTCTGGCTAGTACAATATCTCATAAGGTTTGCGTTTGACTGTTTTGTGTACTCATTATTTTTTGGGCGGTGTACATGGTCTGGTATGGATATTAGTAACCCCCTAAAATATAGAACAGGTGTAATGTACAGTATTTTAATATCTTTTTCGATGGATGCTATGATTTGATGCAACATGGGGATCTAACCCGCACTCTTGAAATACCCGGCCTGGTAAACGTTTACAAGAAACTATGGAACGATCCACCATTTTTGATGGGTAAATCAACTATTATTTCTATGACCATTTTCAATAGCTATGTTTGTTTGCCAGAGGGTATCAACAAACATCAACACACATCAACAAAGTGTATACAGGAAAGATGCCTGGCATGGCCATCCACAAGAATCCACGTATGCGGACGCTGAGGAGCGCGTGGCGTGTTTGCAGAGCCTTTGGGCCAACCAAAGGCGCCCAAAAAAACGGTGTGACATGGACAGGTCTAGTACCGCCATCCCAGTAATTATGTAATACGGTGTCCTAAACTGGAGGTATCCCCAAATGGTTTTGGGGATCCCCCATTTTCAGAAACCTCCATGTATTTCTTTCCCGAAGAACTAGGAATTTTCTAGGTGACTGAGATGCTTCCCAAATGGTCCTTGACAGGCAGCCTTATGTTGGGACTTCCAACTGGACAAAATCATCATCGCACATCTATGTAGTTTTTGAGCGCCATGAGCACCAACAATATTTGCAAAACCACGTTTGTTTTTCCTTAGCTTCCAGATCCTTGAAAAACTCGGACATTTTTTTTCCGGTGTCTTCAGCTGCAAGCTGCAGATTCCAGAATAAGATGGTAAAGTCGGATTGTCAATTTTCGATGCAGTTTTAAGATGTTTTAAGACTCAAGCCATTCTCCTCGCAGCAATCCGAAATCCCAAACATCAGCTGTGCAGATGTCAAACTTTAAGACTGTCACAAACCCGACTGTGGCCATTGTTTTGTTTTCAACATGTCCAATCTGGACTGAGGGGCAATTTCAGATCACAGCAAGAGCTGATAGATTGACGTCTGAGTTTCATCATTTCCGGCTGATCCTTTTATGCTTTGATTCCATATATACACACAAAACTCTACAAGTGCGGACATTCCGGCATTCCAAGCCTCAAGTCACGGTAGAACTACACCAGCAAAATAACATCAGCAAATTAGCCGCGAAGGCTGGGGCCTATTCCGCTCAACATAGGAGGTAAGGCCTACCAACCCAAGTTCAGGGAGAGCATTTTGTAAAAGCCTGAAATTGGGAATTAGTAGGTAAAATGGGGCCTTAGGCGCATCCCCAAGGCCTGCGGTTTGCAAATGGTTGTAATCCACATTTCTTGATAGGTGAATTTCCCCAGCTGTAACTATATATAAACCTCCATTGTTATGGGATTTGCTAGCCAGCCATGTTTGATTACCGAAGGGTAACGTCCAGGCCAAAGCTACTTGCGGGTACCTGAGGGGAAAAAGAGCCGCTTGATGTGCCATGGCCGAGGGTGGCATGGGGCAATGTAGGGAGGAACAGCAATACCATTGAAATCTAACAGTTTGAAATGTGGACTCATGTTGCATATTATCAACCCTAGGTGTTCTTTTTGTTGTCTACCAAGCTCTTGATCACATTGTGATTTCGGCAAAGACAACATCATTTTTGTCTGAAAAAGCTGCTTTGGCCACGCTATTGGCTATCATTTTTTTTGTTGCTCAAGGTAGAACAAGCTGCCATGAACCGTTCCCTGCTTGAGCCTTGGGACATGCTTCGACCACATGCAGCAAAGGAGCTTCAGCTGAAACCAAGTTTCAGCTGAAACAAAATTATTTATAAAAGTGTTGATGTATTTTTTGTGATCCATACCACTCATCAATGCTTCAACTTGCCGAACATCAATTATTGTCAATATACCAATCAAGTTCAAGCACGTGAAAACCACCATTCACGCATCGCCAGAACCAAAACTATCAACCATTCTCACTACTACCGCAACATCATCATCAGGGCAGTACCATCACCAACCACGACACTAATCACCATGAATTGCCATTTGGTAATCAAACATGGCAATTCGATATGCACCATTTATACTTTTTTCCCCACCTGCCAGGTGAGGGTCTCTGGATTTTATTAGAGTTGCTTTCTCCTCCTTCTTCTTCTCCTCCGGCAGCGTCGGATCTCAACTGCGAGTGCCGGATCTCAGTGAGCACTGCTGGACCTCAGCTAGACAAGAGACTGTCAGATAGAATGCCAGAAAGAATGTCAGAATATATATGTATATGTGTATATATATATACACATGTATATATATATATACATGTATCTGTATATGTATATGTATATGTATATGTGTGTATATATATATATGTATATGTATATGTAGATGTATATGTATATATATATGTATGTATATGTAGATGTATATGTAGATGTATATGTAGATGTATATGTAGATGTATATATATATATATGTATATGTATATATGTATATATGTATATATGTATATATGTATATATGTATATATGTATATATGTATATATATATGTATATATGTATATATGTATATATGTATATATGTGTATATGTATATATGTGTATATATGTGTATATATGTGTATATATGTATATATCTGTATCTATATCTGTATCTGTATCTGTATATGTATATGTATATGTATATGTATCTGTATATAGATGTATATGTATATGTATATGTATATGTATATATATATATATGCCAGAAAGCATGTCAGACTAGATGCCATGTCAAAGTATATGCCACAAAGAATGTCCGATAGAATGTCAGAATAAATGTGCCATATTTTATGTCTATATACACTTCCAGATGGTATGTCAGAAACTATGTCGGAATAGTGTTTCAGGGCGGGGATCACCCGAAGAAAGTAATTTGCCTTAAAACTTAAAACCTACATCTAGCTCGGGGATTTTCCAGCCAGCCATTTTTGATTACTGGAGGGTAACCATATCATGATCACGGCTCATGACCATGATCATGGTGATCCTGAAAACTCCTGTTACCAGACTTCTCAAAAAACTTGGCGCGAAAAACCGCCGTTGTTAGCGGTGCTGCTATGGGTCCCATGGGCCGCCGGCCGTGTGGTGATGTGGAAGCCGCTGGCTGTGAGGAGATACCGAAAAAATGGATCTTGGTTACTTGGATTAACCAATCTATGGTCATGATTCACTGATTCACTATGAATATGTTTATTTATAGCTCCAGATTATCTAGATGTATGTGATGCGTGAATATAAATATACATGCCTATAAATATATGCATTGTATAATATTTATACACAATATATATATATGATACACACCCTTTCGTTGATGTAGTATCCCCATTGTTGTTGATGATGTATCAATTTTCAATTGCTCAATCTACCTTTTTTTGTTGATTCAATAGAAACCACATGCAACCAACACCCCACCCAATCTATCCCACAGTTGTTGGTTTAATCGCTAATTTTGTTGATTACACCCCCATCACGATTGATTCAATAACCAGTTTTGATGATGAAAACCATTCGTCCATAATAATCCCCAATGAAACCATCCCTCTGAGAATTGGATGAAGGGAACACTCGCAGGAGGTGAAACCCTGTTGTTAATGGGAAACAACTATGGTTTCCCGCAGAATTTCCCGACCCGTAATCCATTTGGCGGGTCACATTGCTAATTTTTGGTTAGTTAAATTCATTTCCATCCCCATTCCAGTTGATAAAATGCCAAGATTTCCTGGTTAAAACCACTATATAGATCTATATAGTTCATCTATTCGCATATTAATATGTTGGAACCACACATTGTTGTTTCCATAACACAATTCCAGTTGTTGAATGATCTCCCCAACAGAATCCCCCCATCCCCATTCCGGTTGATTAAATACCAATTTGTTGAAGATTTGTTTTTTGTGAAATCTCCAATGAAACCATCCATCCCTTAAAATTGAAGGGACAATTTGCAGCACATCTTATTTTCCATGGCAAGAAA